AGTTAAATCAGATCTGCATGCTTCATCCTGTAAGGACTTATCAGTGCAGCTGCTTGAAACCGGAAACACAAATAATGCATAAATCAAATAGATGATAATACAGTGCTCAATTATATAGGAACATGAATACTTAAACACACACACATACATACATACACACACATATGTTTTGATATTTTTTGTCATTGGAATATCTGTATGATTACATTTTATTTATTGTACAGATGAGACAGCCCCTAATGTGACTTGCCCGGTTGACATTGAGGTGTGCACGGTCCCAGGAACAGATTCAGTGGATGCCACCTGGGAACCAGCCAATGCAACTGACAACTGCTGTAGTGATGTCAACATAACTACTAACTACACCAGCGGAAATTATCTGTCACTTGGTGTATACACAGTAGGATATGCAGCAACAGATTGTAATGGGAATGTTGGTTACTGTCAATTTACTGTTGAAGTTAAAGGTACCAGAAATACCATGACGTAATGCCTTTGCGTTCTGATTGGTTTAGAACTTGCTCGTCTGGCGGACCCCTATTTTGGCCATGGACTAAATTTCTCCTGACAAACCTTTAGAGAGCTTGTGTTGAAAAGTGTTGGGCTAGCCAAATAATATAAGCTATGATAACAGTAACAGTAATTTCAAAACATAAAAAAGAACAAAACAAAGAAGAGAATAAGACCATTACCATTATCATTATCAAAATGTTTTGACCACACACTGCTGCAATATTTGTATAAGTACACATTTTTGGTTGGTAAGTGTCCTAAAAGATAGTAGCATTCTACGAACGTTAATAACATATTCAATATACTGTAGTTCATTAAAGAAAACACTGTTAGCAGTGCTGTTAGCACTGAGTTTATATATGCGGCTTTCACTGTTTATGCAAGCCAAATGTAGTGTCAGCCTCTTCGTTTATAGTGTCACAGCCAAACACTAATCTTTCTGGGGATCCATCAATCTCAACTTAGCAAACGACTTAAGTCAAAGAAGTTAAGCTGTCCCTAAGCAAATATTTTAAGCTGATTTATCAAACCATCTTAGCAAAATCTTAAACCTTCAACACCTTCTTAGATGGCGCATGCTTACAATTAACTTTTTAATTTTAAGTAATTTTTAAGTTAATAAGCAATTTTGATAAATCTGACTTAAGCAAAAAGATAGACTGAAGACAAATTTTAGCTATCTAGTTTAATAAATCCGGACCCTGACCTAGAGTAGCCATATGCTAGACTGTATATAAACACCTTCTTGGCACCAAATTGAACTCCCTATCACCTGTGGTTGCGTAGATACAAGGACCTAATAGATTTGAACTTTGACCCTGACATTTTGACCTTTCACCACATTTATATAATATGTTACCAAGCCAAAAATGATTCTTGGACCGACCTGAACCAATTTCTGAAGTCAAATTCTCTGCACCTCAAAGTGCATACAAAACCTGGTCTGGCTGCTAGGGTACATTGGATACCTCTGCGTTTGTCGGATGTTGTTTGTTTCATAACCCAGTCTATAGTCAGAAGGAAAAGAAAAGCAAAGAGAATACATCCCTGTCTGACCCCAGAGTTGACTTCGAACCACTCAGGAATGATATTGTTTGAGATGACTGCATTTGAAATTATTGTACAGCTGTTTGATAAGGTCAATAATTTTTGATGGTATACCATAATGTTGGAGAATCTTCCAGAGAGTATTCCGATGTACACTCTCAAATGCCTTTTCACTCTTCAATACCTTACTTGGAAGGGACAAAATGGTGATTCCTCTCCACTTCCAGTTAGACCAGTCAGCGGGCATAGTGCCGTCAGACCAAATCTTCTCAAATAGGCTAAACAACATTTTTGAAGACACATCTATATCCACTTTGAGCATTTCAGCATGAATTGAATCATTTCCACAAGCCTTCCCACTCTTCATAGATTTGATAGCATATTTTATTTCTTTGATAGCTGGCGGGTTGTCAATATTTAAAACATTTTCAGCAGAGATAGAATTAGCACAGTTCTTAGAGTCTGCGTTAAAATGTTCGGTCCATTTAGTAGCAAGTTTTCTTTCATCTATGATTAGAGATCACTGTTCATCCCTCATTATATCTTATTGCATAGTTGTTTCGTGATTTTGTATATTTCATTCATATTCCCCATAGCTGCTGCTTCTTCTGCCTTATCAGCTAATGTTTCTACATAGCATCGTTTATCTCTTCTAACACATTTCTTTACATCTTTATACTTCGATTTGTTATTGTAAAGTTATTAATATTAACTAAATGTTTTTGATGACATTATTATATTGCTATAAAATGTTTTATAATACATGAGCTACTGTTTAATATTTTCATATGCAGTAAATCCTATTATTTACACTTCTCAGCACCTACAACACTACCGCCCACTACATCAGTGACAACTGAGGGTACGTTCTTAACTCTTTATTATGTTACATAAGCTAAAAGTTATCAACAACTTAAAATTTCGATTTTTATTGATTTACGCCTTTGAGTTATGTCACAAGAAATTAGCTGCTGTTTAATTTTTCTATAAGAAGTGATTCACATTGCTTATACCTTTCAGTACCTACGACACTACCACTGACAACGTCAGTGACAACTGAGGGTACGTTATTAAATCATAAATATGTTTATATTATACTGCAAGTTATTAATAATAACTAATTGTTTTGAAATGTGTTATAATAAATTAGTTACTGTTAATTAATTACATACGTAGTAAATAATTTGTATTCTATACAACCCAGAAACTACAAGACTACTGTCGACGTCAGTGACAACTAAGGTTACATAAATAATTCATTAATACGTTATATTTGCTAAAAGGTATCAATAATAACTAATCGTTTCGAACTTCATTGCTATATATCCTTCAAATATGTAAAGATAAATTAGCTACTGTTTAATATTTACTAATGCAGTAAATCACATTTTTATATTTCTCAGCACATACAACACTACCGCCCACTACGTCAGTGACAACTGAGGGTACGTTCGTAACTCACTATTATGTTATATATGATAAATGTTATCAAAAATACCAAAAAGTTACTAATTCCATTATTTTATGGATTTTAAATATGTTATAATTTAGTAACATTTTAATATTCACATAAACCAGTAAATAGCAGTTGTATTACTTTAAGAACCTACAACAGCAGCACTGCGACAACATCTTTAACAAGACAGGGTACGCTCTTTAACTTAATAATAAATTATTTTTATATGCTAAAAGTTATCAATATTAAGTAAAGGTTTTTGAATTTCATTAGTATTATCTAAATGTTTTGAACTTCATTGTTATATGCTTTGAACTGTTTTACAATAAATTAGTTATTATGTATTAATTACATACGTACTAACTAAACTTTTTTTAAATATATCTTAGTACATACAACACTACCGCCGACAACGTCAGTAACAACTGAGGGTACGTACTTATGCTTAAGGTTATTAATAATAACTAAATGTTTTTGATTACATTATTATATTGCTATGAAATGTGTTATAATACGGGAGCAACTGTTTAATATTTTCATATGTAGCCAATCCTATTATTTACACTTCTCAGCACCTACAACACTACCAACAACTACATCAGTGACAACTGAGGGTACGGTCTTAACTATTTATTATGTTATTATATGCGAAAAGTTACCAATAACAACTTAAAATTTTACTTTTCATTTCTGATCTTTAACAAGATAGGGTACGCTCTTTAACATTTTAATATGTTATTTATACTAAAAGTTATCAATATCAACTTAAATTTCATTGTTTTATACATGAAAAATAGGTTAAAATAAATTAGCTACTGTTTAATCGAAACATTAGCAGTAATTCGCATGTTTTTATACCTTTCAGTACCTACGACACTACCGCCGACAACGACAGTAACAACTGAGGGTACGTACATAATTTTGTATATGCTTAAAGTTATTAATAAATATATATTTTTTATTACATTATTATGTTTCTTTAAAATTGTTCAATAAAACTAAAAATTTCGATTTTCATTGAGTTATAAGAAATTAGCTACTGTTTATTTTTTTTTTCTATAAGTAGTGAATCACATTTTGTTTATACCTTTCAGTACCTACGACACTACCGCCGACAACGTCAGTGACAACTGAGGGTACGTTATTAAATCATATGTTTATATTATGCTAAAAGTGATTTATAATATCTAAATGTTTTGAACTTCATTGGTATATACTTTGAATTTTTTTTACAATAAATTAGTTACTATTTATTAATTACATACGTATTAACTACGTTTATTTTATTATGTTATTATATCATAAATGGTACCAAAAATACCAAAAAGTTACTAATTTCATTATTTTATGCCTTTTAAATATGTTATAATTCAGCAAAAGTTTATTATTAACATAATTAAGCCACCAAGATAACATTTGTATTATTATAAGAACCTACAACAACAGCACCGCGACAACATCTTTAACAAGATAGGGTACGCTCTTTAACTTATTAAAATGTTATTTATGCTAAAAGTTATCAATATTAAGTAAAAGTTTTTGAATTTCATTGTTTTATATCTGATATTAATAAATTAGCTACTGTTTAATCTAAACATTAGCAGTAATTCGCATGTTTTATGCCTTTTAGTACCTACAACATTACCGCAGAGAACGTCAGTAACAACTGAGGGTAAGTACTTAATGTTGTAAATGCTATATGCTTAAAGGACTTGTAAAATATAGCTGGAATATGATGACGTTTTAGGATCATCAATACCTAATAAAAACATGTGCCAAATTTGGAATCTGAAAAACGTCCGCTTCGTTAAGTAATTTATTGATTTGTATGTCCTTACTGCAAACCTGCTAAAAATTAATGAGGTAAACAAATCTGGGTTGTGACGTCAATCTTGCCTGAATTCAGATTGCGTAATCTGATCCACACCAGTCCACGCAGGGAACACATATGCGCAAGCAGATTATAGTAGTTCAGGGTGTACAGGGTGTTTTTGGTATGATTGTCCTTATACAACTACGATTTGGCTAACACTTAAACAATTTAGCATCAATAATATTGTACTAAATACAACAATGGCAATACTACACAAAATGTAAAAGCAGATAAATTTACATCACGATCATCATCACGATCTAGACTGTGCTAGACCAGAGTGAGGAAGAGAGGACCTACCTTACCCAGGGAGAAAGGCCTAGGCCTGGCCTACTTAGAGTTACAATTTTATTCACGACGTTATTATTCGTTTTTAATAAAATATATATCAAAATAAATATTCTTGTCTTTCCTTTTTCTGCGTATTTTTGTACTCATGTTCTGATGAAAAAATTCCTCAGGTCTGACACTCGCATTACCTACCTCCGAAGTGCTCTCCGTGTGTAAAAAGTTACTCTCAATTGAGGGCAGTATTGATGGGAGGCAATCGGAGTTTCATGATAATTATACTAATTACTAATTAATTATCAAATATGTTTAG